AATGAAATTACTTTTGATTCAATTAATATTTTGTAAATCCACACACAGGAAGGCTGACACTAGTGTCTTTATGATATCATATTGCTAAGAGTAAGTGATTTTCACTCTAGCTCCATAAAATTATGACCTCTTTTGCATCAACTCTGACCAATTAYCTTGCAAGACTTCTGATTTTCTGTTGATGTAGCTGTGTTTTTGTAATTAACTCATTTGTCTTTTAGCAAGGACATGCCTTTAGAAGAAGTCAGGGGTTTTGCTGACCATTTTGTAAAATCAACGTTTTTGTTTTATTGCTGCCATCAGTATAACATTYTCAATCCTTGCAATTATAGCAATTTTTATTTTAGTTTTTGCCTTCATCCAAAGGCATTTTCGTAACAGTTAATGTGAACTCTAACTACAATTCCATTACCAAATAGAGAAACATTTCTATAATTGTTTGGAGGCCTTTTTTCCTATACCTTCTATTTCACTAATTCTTGTTTCTTGGAGATATATTTCCATTAGAGTTTCAATAAATTATTTAAGCTCAAAACTAAACCAACCTACTTTTGAGGAAATGAAATTTGGGATACATGGWGTACTTCCCTGTTCACAACTAAAATCAATTACAGGTTATCACATCTTTTAGTGTATGGTCTTTTGAACTTGCCTGCACCTGGTTAAATAGGTACCATAACCTACAGTCTTCCCATCTATGAGAAGCTATTGCCCTTGTAACAGTCAAGAAGAGCATACACATATAAAGCTGCTCATACATATGTCACAGTTCAGGGCTTGCCATAACAGATGAATCCAGCAGTGAGGACAATAACTCAGCTAATATCTTGCGCTGGGAAGAGAGGCAGCTGAAGAGCAAACAGGGAGGTAAMCTTCTGCACAGAGGCAGAAAAGACAGATGGAGAGTGGCAGTTAAACACCAGAGCAAAAACTGACAGAGCCTGTTAGAGCCTTTACATGCTTTCATAGAACAGACAAGTCGTTTCCTTGGAGGAACAAGATACACAAGAGGTCTTTCTCAGGCAACATACTTACGGCTTCTTTCTGGAAGCAGCATCTTATGCCACTGTTTCTAGGATGCCATTCAGGAAAAACTTAGTTTTYGTAATATTTATTGACATCTCTGCTTTATATCAGATTAAAAATAACCCAAGGGCTAGCAGGGAGATGGAGTGCTCATTCTTCCTCTCTTGTTCTACCTATCCTGCATTAGGTATAAATTCTTTGGGTACTTTAAGTTACTATGTTTGGTGAGCACTCATGACTCTCAGCTAGTTTTGTTATACTTGCAAAATGAAACAACTAGTAACATTTATAAAATAAGAAGTTTCCTGTCATCTTACAAGCATTATTTTTCAAAGTTACACAAAAACAGGGCTAGATTTATCAGGTTTATCAAATTGTGCTGATGTCTACATTCACCAAAACTCTTCCCCTATCCTTTTTCTTTTTTGGAGCAGAGATGTAGACAATACAAGAACATTTACTTTGAGTACAGAAGAGCAAATAGCCTGAGATACAATTGCTAGATCTGTGCAGCTGCTTTGCAGATATCTGTGCAGTAGAGAGTCCTAGAGCAGTGCATGAACTCCTCTTGCAACATTTCCCAGCTCTCAGTAACATACCATATGACATTATGAGCCAGTCTAGTTCTCAAGAGGGCTGAAAAGCCTGACAACAATAGGTCACACTTAGGAATWCTAAGTAAAACTGATTAAACAAAACATAAGTTGAGCAACATATTCTCAAAGGATTTTAAAAACAGTGTTTTTGGAAGGTTTTTTCTTTGATTATTAGGGAAAGAATTGTACCACAGCAAATGAGAGATTTAAGTCCCACCCCCTTTTTTTAAAAAAAAAATGTTAACATCCCACTGGTAATGAATGCATTCCTCAATTTAAGAAAAGCAAGATAGAGGAACAAAACAATTAAATCTGTGTAAGAACATGACATGAGCACACGAATAAAGTACCAAGATAGATTTAATTTGCATTACTGGATATTATGTTCTTCTCCCATTTGTTCTTTGCCTACAAAAATACTCATAAATTTTATTTCTCATAAATATTTCTCATAAATATTAACATATACAAACATAAAATTTTCCTAAAATAAGTAAAAATTCTCCACATCCTCTAATTATCCACAAGATGGCACTGCTTGCATCATACAGCATAATCTGAAGCAAGCCAACACTACCTGCCTTTATCCTGACCACAAATTTGGCTCTTTGAAGATGTTAKTTTCCTTATATTCAGACAAATCCCTCATCATTCATGATTATTTACCACATTGTGGTAAAAATTAATAATAAATTTTACAGGCTAAAAGCCAAATGGCTTTTTTTGGCAGCCAGCTCAGAAAAGGCAGTTGAGGGTTGACTTCTATCACTGTACTACATCTACACACAATCTCCCAAAATCAAGAGAGGGGAAAGAGAAGAGAGAGGAAGAAAAAAAACACAGAGAAAAACACTTATTCTTCAGTCTCAGGTCTGCTCAAAAGTTGCTTAAACTTGTCAGGTTCTTTCTTCCAGCCAGCTGGCTGGTTATCCCAGGCCAGCTCAACAGCTTAGTTCATGCTGAGGATGAACCCTAATAATCAGTTATTATCCTGTGTCTGCCTACACAGTAAAATAAAGGCATGACTGTGCATGTGCTACATTGCCTCTGCTAGTTTAATTCAGCTATCGCAGTGACCAGTAACAGTCAATACAAAATAGGATATGCTGTCAACTGAATTATAGATTTCTTACATGGCCTTAATATTCACTCACCTTGCTACTGTCACGCATGTCAGCAAGATAGGTAAATGAAGCATAGTCTGTGCTAATGTTTCAGACTATCTCCATTGTCCAGATAAAAGCATGTTTTACTTGAAAAGAATTATCACTCTTTTAGACAAAGGACCGAAGAAACAGAATATTTCTGCTACTGTGAAATTGTTACCATATTTATGGGTAATATGATGCAAGGCTGGCACCACCTTTTTTCACCAATTAAACAAAGAAAATATCTTTTTAAAAAGAAGTCTCAGACAAATAAGAAAATATGACCTTTTACCCACAAAAAGTTTTCACAACAGACATATTTTACAAACTAAGCATTAAGCCTCCATTCTCCTTTTTTCATCAACAGCATATTCTTGCAATAGACATCCTAAGGCTATTCCTTAACACATCGTAGTGTTATTCTAAAATTTTAAAGAATTAGTAAGTCTTCAAGAGCTTTCYCACTCTACAGTAAACAAGCAGCAAAGTGGAAAGAATTTCCAATCTGTCCACAGTACAATCATTTTCCTACTTTTCAAGAGCAAAACAAAATGAAGTGTCAGTAGGCAACACAAGAGCTCAATTTTTTTTTTTTTTTTAAATAAAAAGCAAGTGTTTTCATAGTGTAACTGCAGAGTCTCTTGCTCTGACAGGAGTCAGACAACAGTGCAGAACATCTAGAAGATCAGTTTAAGCATGCAGGTTGGCACTCAAGTATACACCATTCCAGACAGTATAACCCAGGATATCTTCATTTTTAAGCCTTTATATAAACGACTAAGCAACTAAAATAGGAAAGTTAGGGCATTCAGTTCAGACCTTGAAAGAACTTGCATATTTATGTATTTTTTTCCACCTCTATATGTCTTACTGAATTTGAATTCCTGTTATATAAGAACAGATTTAAAAAACAGCACTATTGAACTACTTTGCCATATGTCCTCGTTAAGCAGATTAATAGMCTAATGCTTTGTTATCAGTTCTGGTTAGCTACTATTTTCCAGGTGGTTTCTGTCCTATAAAGCAGCACACATGCTAAAACTATATTCATAAAGAACTGTTTTCCCAACAGCTTTCTACTAGGAAAAAAAGGAGGCATTCCAAGCAATTTTTTTTCCCCCCGTTCTTCCTCCTCTCCCTCGCCTTAAAATCCATCCATAACTTGTCCAATAGAGCAATAGAGCCTAGATACAGTGAATTTTAGAGCACTAAGGGAAAGAGGAGGCGTGGAACACCTGGCAGCTAAGACAGGGATTGAGGGACAGGGGAAGAGTAGAAGTGAATGTTTTCCATTTTCCCATACGCTAATCATTTGGTGTTATAGGTATGGCAAGAGAGGAATGCAGAAAAGGCTGACTCATCTTTTCATTTCCAGTACTGGGAAAATATCAGACATTTTTTGATAAGGAAAAAGCTTCTCAAGGACACTTTGGTGATTGACAGTTGTATTTGGCTTCCGTTCTGCAAATACATGGAGTTGCTGTGGAGTCAATGACCATTTGCATGCACACAATTTCAAGTTAAAAAACTTTGGTCTGTAATCTCTTTGAGTTTAAGATGAAGTCTATTTAAGATTCATGTGGCACTTCACCTACTGTGGTCACTAGAAGAATAAATAAAGGGATAAAACTGAATACTTGAAGCAGAATTTCCTCATCCTTCCTTCTAAGGAAACAATTACAAATATAGCATTTAAAATTTCCTATATRTGACCTTTGAAGAAATCCATCACCAAAGTAGAATTTAGACTCTGAATTTTGCATCTCTAAGGCTTGATTTAGAGTTAAACCCTAGTATTGTGTGCTTTCTAATCTGTCCTTCTTACAAAAAGACAAAATTATTTTCATCCTGAACCTCAGCAAATATATTGAAGACTGCGAAGCAGCCAGAAGTTACTTCATGCCTATAATAATGCATGTTCTTTGGCCAGCTTCTCATGATCTCCTGAGCTCTTCAGCTAGAGATGTGACTGCAAGTTATCCCCCGTCAATTCATCCTAGCCAATCTTGAAACTTCACTTAAAATTTTGACTTMTCAACAAGATTGGGGCTGCACTTGAGAATCTCTATACAAATACCTTAATTCCATATTACTTACAGCTCTTTGCAAAGCAGCATCATAGACCACTACCACTTCTGGAAGAAACATGACTGTTTTTCAAGTGAATTTCTCACCTTCTCAACCATTCACACTACCAGGCCCCAGAAATTCACCACATCCCCATGCTTACCTTTCATCATCTCTTTATTTATTGATAAAACAATTTCTTTTCCTCCCTTCAAATCTGCCAGGACAAGTGATCCTAAAGGAAACAGTAAAACAAAGACCATGAGGTAGCAATAGTCTCAATTTAAGTCATCTGTAAAGGACAAATGTGATATTCACAACAATATTACCCAATGTTACTGTCAAAAATTAAGCCCCGGGAGCAGCACTTTATTATTTTACTAAGGCCAAAAGTTCAATTTGGCAAAACTCCAGCGTAAGTTTYGTCTATGGCAGCTACAGCAGTTGAGCAGCATCATTCTACTAATGTGAATGGTTTTACTGGCAGTAAGCAGTCAAATGTATGGATTTCTTGTCAAAGAAGCAAGAAGTATTCAAACATGCAAGCTAAAATATCACTGATACAGAAAGAGAATGTGAAGATTAAAGGAATATTTCAGTGCATGGCATCTGATTTCTTTTTAAAAAATAAAACAAGATCAGTATTAAATGAAAGCCAAACGCTTCTTTCTTTTCTCAGCAGGAACTTACCCTATTGACTGAAGTTCATTTTGCATCATACCACTGAATAGACAAAATAATATTGCTAATTTGAAGTTTACTAAAATGTTCACTCACCACTCACACTTCGGAGGAAAAGAGCAGCAGGCAATTCTCCAATAAATCTTGACACACAATTATTAAAGAAATCATACTAACCTAAAGTGTCAGGATTGAGTTTCATCCCTCACCTCCAAAATATTACTTCTACTCTGATGTAAGACTTCTCTAGTAAAAACAACCAGCTGAAACTCATCTCCATGGATGTTATTTTCACTCACTGCTCATTCAGATAGAGGCTAATTGAGCCCCTTTCTATAATAGAAAGTATCTCACCTGATATTCTTCAGATCACTTTTGTTTTTCTCAGAGCTGAATCACATTGGCAGCTCAGAGAAAACGTTTGATCAATAGCACATTCCACTCTTTTTTTTCTCTTTTGCAAATGGCAGATCCAGAATATACAGTAGAAAATAACACCTGAACATAACAATCTACATTTTTATTCCTACATCTTCCACCATTCCACCTCCCCAGTCTTTTTTTTTTTTTTCTTTCCCTTCTGTAAAGGTAAGTCCATTGAACTTCTGATTACCCATTTCATATATCTAGGAAGTAAGGCATAGCATCTCATAAGGATGCTGTGAAGTTTCTTGTGTGAGTATTTTAAAAACATTTTGACATTCTTATTTAAAAACRAAACATTGCAAATAACCACTTTGTTGTTTAAACCCACATATATGACATCATTGGGGCTACAAAATAATATCTAATTACTAAGATATTTGAAGAATATCTTGTTTATAGTAAAGCTCGAGCTAACAGTATATAGTTACTTTTTGTTCGTTAGCAACATTATTTTCATCTTGAAGGTAAAAATCAATGAGTTCAGTGCAAAGGTCAGATACATAAATATTTTTCTAGTATTTATCCATGTAAACTGTGGTCTTAAAGTAAATATTGACCATTTCCCTTCTAATGGTGCTAAATGCCTTGATMTCCACTATTTCAGAAGGGTATGGAGTCCAGCAAATAGAATTTGAAGAGATATTATGTCTGATGGTACTTTTTCTTTCTTTTTTTCAGTTTTTTTTTTTTTTAAGAGGGGTCACTTGTTTTTAGAAAAAAACAACAACAAAAAAAACGAAATTTAAACTAAGAAGTGGTTATGCATATCATAACAAAGCAGAAAAAATTAGGAAGGAGAATTAACTAACTACACAGACATGAAAACTGGAAGTTCCTTTCATCATAAATAGGAAATGAATATTCATTTGTACATCCTTCATACACCCAAGAATAATCGTCTCTGTATGACGTCAGGTGATCTAGATTCACAAACAAAATATCTATGTAACATTTCTTTCTGTTAATTGATTTGCTAATTGATCTAGCCTGCTTGAAAAGAAAATGAAGAATACAGGATTACATAGTTCAATAATAAATAAAATTGCCTGTTATTTGCACTAATTTTTCTACAAGTAACAACATAACAGCAGTTCGGCTGCATCTGATGTTGAGTTTGCAGTTCTGTTGCTCATGTCTGAAAACCTTTTAAGACATTGTTATTATGGATGACTCTTCAATGGAGTGAAATAGCAAGAAAAAGGCAAAGCAATATATATGAATAGAAGTATTAGGAACCATTCTCAACATGGGCTTATAGAGCTTAGAGAAAATAAAAGTAAAATCACAAGTGAAACAAAAAGAATAGCACAGATTGCAGGAAAGTTATGTTTGAGGACTCACCAAGAAGTTGCTAWGCAGTTATCTGTCTAAAATGGTAGGTCTAATTGCAACATCTCAGTTAATAGCCTCTAAACATATAAGRATATTAGTTTTCACAAGCCAGAAGTCAATTTTATGGCTATATATCCTATAAAAACACTGCTTGCAGCTGTACAGACTAGAGAGAGAAGRAAAAAAAAAACAMCACTCTGTAGTGGGGTTTCCAGTTGAGGAAGAGAAAAAAGCTTCTTGGTGAGCCAAGACTGTGACTACTTACCCTTAGTTTTACTTTTTATAGATATTGCATAAAAAGAGAAAATTCATTTACCTCCTATCCTACATCTACCTATGTAATCTGAAACAAGTCTTGCCCATTGCATACCCTATCATCCATCAAAATACCTTGAAAACAAAAACAGGTCTATTCCAAGACCAAATTCCCCAACCTAAACTCGGTCATAGTATGTTTGGTAAAGTACTAACTTCATATTTACATACTAGATACCAACCTACATTAATTCTCCAGAGGCAGCCACTTGCTATACATATCATGGATTTTAGTSAGTAACTAAAAGGAGAAACAAATGGAATGAGGGAGAACAGTTAAATATTTGTGACTCTTGTGGTGGGCTCCTTTGCAAATTGAAAGAGATTAGCCTGAATCACCTGCAGCTGACTTTTGAAGTAAGTAATTTCACCTGTCCTGACAACAAAGCTTGCCTATGCAATGTGATACCATTAAAAGATGTTTGGGAAATGCTAGCTTTACAGCTGGGACCAATCCATTTTGGAGCAATGTTATGCAGGTGAGTTTGAACTTAAGTACTTCAAATTCAYCTGTGTAACTTTGCCTGGAAACAARGCTAGAAACTACATAAGAAAAACAGTCTAAAAGTTGTTTCTTGYTGCTTTGAAGCTTCTAGGTCCTGGTTCTTAAGGAAATTTTCATGCTTATTTGGTGTGTATGTGTCTCCACTATAACAAAACCATTTTGTCACCCCAAGAGTCCTTTCCACTCTTTTTACCACCAGAGGGGGTACTCTAGCCCTATCGAACTAGCTGAAGTGGTTTTGTTTGCTGCACCTTCACAGAAYTGGGTATTTTGGAAAAAAAGTGATGTTTGTATGTATGGAATATGAAATGGTTGTGCATAGATGTTTAATTTCCTCTGTAATGCATCTAGTATGGTGAGATAGTGCTTGACTTTACTGACGCTAGAAGATGTGAATAGTGAAAAATAACATTCTTATAAAATGTGGCAATATTTTTAAAAGCTGCTGAGACATAAGAACACAGATAATTCTGAATTGCTTAAATTGCTTTCATTTTCCATATGCAGAAAGATGTCAACATCACCTCCTAAACCTGGCAGAACATGCTTCTCTACTGAACAGTTACAGTTGTAATGTGAAGGGGACTTTCACAAAACTGTTCTCTTCTGGATGCATCTTTCAGTCACCAGTTAAATCTCCCTGGAGAGAAGATGCACCTGCAGCAGTTACACTGGCAAGGCAGAATACCAAACTGAGTGCCTCCCTCTCACACCTGGCAAGTAGGTGTTGTGGAAAGGCATGGAATAAGGTTTTTATAGGCACAGATCTAATAATGTAACAAACAAGGAATATTTTCAAGACGAGACATGAAATAAAGGGAAAGGTTATAGCTGGTTTTAAGGGCCTCCTGTTTTTAAAGGTCTATGTCAAGACAATACATTGTGTAGTAGTAAGTTGAAATGTCATTGATTTCGATGTGCTTATTGAGCAATTCTACCGAAAGAGAATTTAACCTAAGGAACCTTGGGAGAATTTTAAAACTATTCAGGCAAACTGAACTGTAGGCTAAAATAACTGTATGAATGCTGTGAAAACTGGAGCTGGGCCACCATTATGTGGTCCCTGTGAGGGAATGGGGAAAATGGCAGCCCGATGGACTATACAGTGGCATTCACAAGCAAAAAGAGGAGAAATTACAGAGACAGATACAGCTTTCTGTCCTGCACGGTATTCAGTGGGAGGCCTAAACCTGTGCTCAACGAATTGACCATTTCAGCCTAGAAAGAGCAGAGTAACATCACGTTAAGGCTAAAAGACAACTTTGCTCCCAGAGGGGAAGATCAGGTGAACTAATCCTGCCAGAAGCACCGCATGCRGCACAGGGCTCTCCCCATGGAGTAAGCCGCTTTCTTAAAGCCGTTTTTATTGTCCGCAAGGCCCCGTTTCCCCTTTCCGTTCCGTCACCTGAGCCGTGCGGCGAGGGCGGCCGCGGCACC